CGCTTCTGATGTTGCTGCGACCGCCATCGCGACCTCAACCGTCGCCACCGCCTAGCCCAACCGCCACCGACACTGCCCCTTCCTGGTCAAGGATGGCGGCCTCCGCGCTAAGACCCAAGACCGTGCGAAGTGAATTTCCCGATGCTATCGCTGGAGAAGCGTGGGACAAACGCGCTGCTCGACCATTTGGAGGCTGCCCGTAAATCGATCGGTTCCATGTTCATGACCTCGGAATTCACCGCTGAAAAAGCGCCGAACGAACGCGCCACGCGACCCCGTGGAAACTGTCCAGAAACTTGGCGGGCTCGACTTGCGTGTAACCGGAATCTACCACTGGGGAGGTGCCGAGCGAGCGCGCTACTCGATCCGTTCGAAGCTACCAGGCAACTTCGCGAGCTCAATTTTCGAGCCCTGGGAGGTAATTCGTCGCTAGGGAAGCGCCGAACGAGCACGCCATTCGATCCTTTGGAAGCTGCCCAGAAATTCTGCGGGTCCAATTTTCGTGTCCTTTCGAATCTATCGCTGGGGAAGCGTCGCGCTAGCGCGCCATTCGACCGTCTGGACGCTGCCATGAGATGTCGCCTGCCAAGTTTCTGAGCGCCTGACATGTCGCACGTATCAGATGTTGCTCAGCGGCGTGGTCGCACATTCTAGCTTTGGTAGGAGTCGCAACAGAAGCCTGTTTTCGGAATCGCAGCGCGGGACCTAGCGAGAGTCTTGGCAGGAGTCCATGTGCGCGCGAAAGAAGGATCCATCAGAGCGCTTGCGTGCACCTCCCAAGAATACGTGGGCATCTGTAGAGAGCCTCCCCCGTCCGCGGAATTGACGGGCCGAGTTGGCAACAATCGAGTGGTGCACTCGCTCGATGCTTCCCTAGCGATGCTTCCAAGGGCTCTCGAAAATCCGCTTCGCAAGGTTTCCGAGCGCATGCCGCTCTCAGACTCTGGGCAGCAAGGACAAGAGGCTCCAGCTGTAAGACAATTCCGCGGGTTGTACATTATTGAGCACTTGGACTGGAACTGGGTTCCCCGATCGCTGTGGATAGAACGAAGGTCTAACATGGCGAAGGTCTAGGCCTCAAGCTCCGGAGCCTGCAAGCGCTACTCTACAGCCCTCCCCGCCATCTAGAATACAAGCATTCGGCGCTTGATTCTACGCATGCGCACCTCATGTCTGACACTTGCCTCTGTCAGTGAAGATGGCGATGTTGATGGGGATGGCGATGTTGATGTTGCTGGATGGCGGCGTTGCTGCAGATGTCGATGTTGGTGAAGATGCCGATATTAACTGAGATGGCGGTAACACTGGGGAACAGACACAACTTCGCGCGTATTCCGTGCCATCGGGTTCCTTCTCTGTCCGTCTGTCCGTGTTCAGCTTAAGACTAAAACTGTCGCCCGCGCTTCGCGCGCGCTCGAATTCTACGTGCCAGGGTGCCAAACGTATAGCGCGTGAGAAGGGCCGTGTCCAGATGATCTGGCCAATGGCTTGGAAACGCACGCCTTGGTGCCTGAAATCGCCTAGAGGCTTTGTATTCGCGGCGGTCCTGGGCTATCCTTGGGCAATCTCGCCACTCTTTCGTGACCATTTGAGCCTCCGGAGCCATATTGGGGCCACGCGTTTCCAACAAAAGGCGCCTTTTGGTTTTTGACTGGCTTGACCCTCTCGGAAGTCCTGTGCGGGCACTCTGGCAGTCTCTGGGGGCCTCACTGTGCTGCTGGAGCCTTCCTGTGGGAGCTTGGGGGCCTCCTGGGACCGTCGTGGGGTCCTCGTGGAACTTCTGCACAGCTCATCGGGAGCGGCAAAGAGGGGGGTGTCCAAGAGGGGGGGGTGCAAACCATGACCGGCGGCACGTGCGCGGCGTATTTGGGGGGCCAGGGACGTAATGAAACACGAAGAGGCGCCATGACATCTGGGGAATATCCTGGCCCCCGCCATGATACCCCCCTAGCATTATGTCGGGCGTATCTCCCTACAAGGAGATTTTCGACGAAAAATAATTTATACATCAAAAATACACCAAAAAGATCAGACAATACTCACAAAATAGTCCCCAGATTATGTTTGGACTCGTTTTTTTGACTATGTATGGGGTATCTCATATTTTTCGTCGAAAATCCCCTTGTAGGGGGGGACAGGCCCGACGTAACCCCAAACGTCACCCCCCTCCTTGCCGCCCCCCGAGCTCGCTCCGGGAGCCTCCGCGGGGGAGCTCGGGGGCAGCCCCGCGGGCAGCCCCCGGACGGGGGATCAGGCGCCACTGATAGGGGGGGGGCCCTGGGCGCCCCGCGCGCGAGCTGCGGCCCCTTTGGGCCCCGGGGGGTCGGGCCTCCGGTGTACGCGAGCGGAGGATGGTGGTGCCGGGAGGCAAGATATCCGGGGGTGGTCAGACCCCCGGGCAGCCCCCGGAGGGGGAGCGTGGCCACTTAAGGGGGGGGGGGGCCCGGGCGCCCCGTGCGTGTGCTGCGGCCCCTCGGGCCCCGGGGGGCCGTTCCTCCGCCCCGACCCCAGGTCCGCCCTACTTTGGATTTTTTTCCAACTCCAAATTGCGTCGGGAATCCACCTAGAACCTAGAAGCCGGAAACAAGTAGGGCGGGAATGTCTGCACCCAACATAAAGTAGGGCCGCAGGGCGGAAATCCACAGAAGTGGGGCGGAAACAGCAACAGAAAAGTAGGGCGGAAATTGGCATCAGCGGGGCTTGAAAAGTAAGGCAGAAATTCCAAGCTCTACTTACGACTTTCCCCAAGGTAGGGCGGATCTGGAGTCAGGGCGGTGTATGTGAGCGGAAGATGGTGGCGCCGGGAGGCAAGAATCGGAGGTGGTCATAGCAAAACGTGGTTTCGTGAAAACGACCTTTTGCCCAAGCCTGGCGGGCGCAAGCCTGGAAAATGACGGCCGCGGCGCCCTCTGGAGAACCGAAAACTGACAATTCACTAATCGACGTGTCAGGGTAGGAGGTCTGTCCACCCCCGAAAGATAGAGGGGGGAGGCGGCAGGACAAGTAGTGGCTGAAGGCGGGAGATGGAGTGGGGAAGGCGGACGGTGGAGGGAGGAGGCGGACGTGCAAGAGAGACGGAGTGGGGAGGGAGGAGAAGGAAGGGGAGGGGCAGGGCGGAGGAAGGAGGGATGGAGGCGGGAGCACTGAGGCGGGGAGGAGGATGGACGGGGCAAAAGGGGCGAATGTACGAGGTAGAGGGCAAGAGGCAGGAGAAGGAGGAACTGGGAGATGGGATGGACCAGAGGACAGTACAAGCGAGGAGTATGGGATAGGGTTGGATGAGGGAAAAGGCGGAGGCAAGATGGACATTAAGGATGAGGGCGCATTAAGAAAGACAATGCGAAGTGAGAGAGAAACGTGTGTTGAGGGGTGGGAGGTGTAAGGATGAGAGAAGAGGAGGATTAGGAGGTGGAAGAGGAGGAGTAGATGGAGGAGGAGGAGGAGGAGGAGGCGGAGGAGTGAGACTGGGAATGAGGAGAAAGAGGGTGAGGAGGAGTGAGGGAGGGTGTTTCCATATCTGTGTCTTCGATTTCAGGCGAGCCGCCTGAGACCTCTTGAATGCCTGTTCGTGTCTCTGGGGAGGCCGCTGGGCAGCTTCTCGCAGGCAGTCTTGAGGCCTCTTGGAGCGCCTTTCGAGCCTCCTTCGGAAAGGCCTCTTGGGTCCTCTGGGGGAGTCCTTTGGGGCCTGCTGGCGGTCTTCGGGGTCCTCTTGGGGCGGAGACCTGGAAGTGTCAGTTCAAATCCCCGCCCTGGAGCCCCTCTTGTGCCCTTTTGGGGCCGTCTTGGGCGGTCCTGGGTACCTCTGAGGCCGTCTTGGGGCCCTCTTGGGCCGTCTTGGGGCCCTCTTGGGGACCTGTTGGGCAGTCTTCGGATTCTCTTGGAAGCCTCGTGGGCCTTGTTGGACGCTGTCAAGATCCAAAAAGCGAATCGGTAGACATGTACTTACGTCTCCCCAAGGGAATGAAGCGATTTTGCCTCTTCGAGCCCGGGGGTCCTCTTGGAGCCGTCTTGGGGCGTGTTGGGGGCCTCCTGGGCAGTCTTGACGTCATCTGGGGCCGTGGAAGCCATCTTGGCCCGTTTGTGACTTATTTGGTACCCATCCGAAACTCCGGGGGGGCTGGGGAAGACCAAGGCTCTGGGGAGGCCCCGGGGAGGCCAGAGGGAGGTGGCCCCTGTGGTCTTCGGCCCGAGGGCCCCTGGGGCAGGGCTTCCGGTATGTGAGGGACGAAGACATTAAAAACCTTCTTCCCAAACCCCCGTCGTCGTGATTTTTTTCACGGACCCCCTCTCCCGGACCGGTTTTTCATCCTGAGTCGTTTTCTGACGGTCCCGAGGCCGGGTAAGGGCCCCGGAGAAGGAAAACCTCCCGTCGTGTTTTTTTTCACAGCGCGAGGGGGTCTGGGCTTCTGAAGCCAAGAAGCGGCAAGATATCACAGCAGGACTGGCCTCCTGGCCCCGCGATCGTGGCCGATCCACGACCGCCCGACGCGGATCCAGCCAGCCCGGCGACACATCCCACTGCGCGGGGCACCGATCGAGGGCCGCCCGGTCGGCCGCCCCAGGATCCCGATCTCCCTCTCTCTCTATATATATATAGATCGACAGTCGGCCGCATCGGCGGCCTGGCTGGGCCTGGCCGAGGGCTCGGTTGTGCCCTGGCAGCTTGGAGCAACACTTAGGTCGGGCGTGTCCTTCTACATGCGGACTTGGGGCGAACAAATAAATCGTCAGACAAACATTGAAGACTGGCCAAACAAAAAGCAACAAGTCGTCCCCAGACTACATGAGTACTATTTTTGAATGCTCCTCCTGTGGAGGGACATGCCCGATGTAAGGCCAAGGCCATCCTGGGTCCTCCTGGCCTAGGCCAGGGGGGATCCGTGCGCCATCCGAAGGTCCATCCAGGATGGCCACGGCAAGGCGGCAAGGCACCCGTGGCGGCGCGTATCTTGGACGCCTCCTGCGGGGATGGAGGCGCCGAGGTTCTCTGCGGTTGGCGGCTACTCCGCAGCGAGCAGAGCACTGCCAGAGAGCTCCGGCACGGGCCGTGCTCGCAGCCATCGCCACGCGGCGCCTGCCAGCAGCGCGGCACAGGCCAGGGCGATCGAGAGGCCCAGGGGCGCTCGCAGCTGCTGGGAGCCTCGGGGTCGAGCCCACGAGTCGCCCCAGCGGAAGGCGCCGACCTCCGCGCAGTTCTCGCACTTCTCGGCCGAGCGCGTCTGCGCCGGCCCCGTCGCCGCCGGCGGGTCCGCGGCGGCCCCGCACGCCGGCGCGGCCGAGCCCAGCCTGCCGCAGACGACGCGCAGGAGCGACGCCGGGGGCTCGACCGGGGTTCGCTCTCCCCCGGGCACGGTTTTCTCCAGGCACACGCCGTCCTCCCAGTAGTACAGGTCCCCGTCGACGAGCACCCAGGGCATGCTCGGCGGCGCCTGCATGCCGATGTCGTCGTGGAGGTGGTACATCGCCTCCTCTCGGGGAGACGTGAGGCTCGGGCTCGGGGGGCTTGGCCTGGCCCTGACGGGGCCGTCACGAACATGCCGAGACCCAGTTTGACGTTTGGCGCGAACTCCCGCTGCAAGACTCCCACGGAAAACTGGACCGCCAGAACTCGCGGCGGGCCCGTCACACGGCGTCGGCGAGCCCGAGTTCTGGCGAAATCGAGTCTGGCGTCTCCCCGGTCCTCCAGCGTGGAGCCGGCAGCGCCCAGGAGCTCGAAGGCCCGCGCGCCCCTGGCGCAGGCCTGCACCCCGCCCGCGCCGCTCCACGTCAGATTGGCCTGCCTTGCGCACTCCTCGAGCAGAGGATCGACTACAGAATCGATTGACTCCCAAATTGATTTGCGCGTCGGCTGTACGACAACATACGTTAAGCTTCCCGCAGATCCACACTCATGATGCGCATTTTGTCGCAGAAGTCGGTGAGGACACACGTTTGGGGGTGAATCGATTCTGCAGCCTGACACCGAATCACCAGACCACCCCAACCCCAACACGAAAGTCCCAAACTTCGCGTTGAAAGGCGGACGGGTTCTACATGTGCTCTGTCATGTGTTCCACGACGCACCCCTCACAGGGAACGCAGGGCACACTGGGGCCTTCGGGTAGGGTTGCGGTGAACTCCTCCGCCACGGCGCCGCTCCGCAGCGCCCCCGCGGCGGTCGTGTCCATGTCGCACGCGGCGAAGCGGATCCCGCTCAAGAGGTGCGGGTCGCTCGCGGGCGCTGGCTGCGCCAGCTCGGCGGACAGCGCGCACAGCGGCGCCAGCGCCAGGCTGCACGCCGCGTCGGCGAGGCAGCCGTCCGGCGGGGCGCTCGCCATCGGCAGCACGGCAAGACGAAACAAGAACGAGGTCACATTCGGGTGAGGGTGCATCGATAACCTCTGAGATCCGGCAGCTCTGGAGGATGTCTCTGGCGCCGCGGCCTTCGCAAAGCATTCCAGAAAAGGTCTGAGAGCGTTCCCGAACGCTCTGGAACGGATTTATCCTCGTCCTAGCCCCGTCCGACATGGGCGGGTACATCGGCAGCGCCGACACCTGAGCGACAAAAACATACGGGTCTTGCGCGGGATGACGTAGCGACCTTGCGCGATGGCTTGTGCGGGGCGCTGGCGCGGCACGAGGCGCCCAGGAACACACAAGTAAACAGATTCAAATCCCAGGATTCCCCAGATTGCTTCAACAGTCTCTGAGTTTCATCGTCTTCTCCCCCACTCCCCACGTGCTCCTGATCATCGACGTTTATTTGTGCCTGTGCTTTTTTCCCCTCATGGCTTATGCGCGACCTTATGCGGGACGCTTACGCGCCAAGGTCGGTGGCGACGACCACGTTCTCTTCCGTCGCTCGCCTGCACCCCGGGGAGGCCCGCCTCGACCAGCGGGAGCAGCCCCGCCCGCAGGAAGTCCTGGCAGTGGGGGCAGAGGGTGAAGTAGAACACCTGCTGGCGGCGCGCACAAGGGGGGTCTCCCGAGGAGACCTTCCACGATGTCCCAACGAACACCCAGGAGGAGGAGGAGGAGGAGGAGGAGGAGGAGGAGGAGGAGGAGGAGGAGGAGGAGGAGGTGGAAGGAGGAGGTTGGAGGAGGAGGAGGAAGAGGGGGAGGAGGGGGAGGGGGGAAGGCTTCTGGGAAGGAGGCTGCTCCACTTCTCAGAAGCAGGGCGCCTCGACTACGCCTGCACCCCTCCCCCCTAATTACCGCCCTCTGCGGCGTGGCCGGACCTGGACGGAGACGGCCTGCTGGGCGGCGGGGGCCGGCTCCTCGTACTCGGCCACCACGCCGGCGAGGGCAGAAGCACGAACATCGGCGTAGGCATGCCCTGCCGGAGGTCCGCGCGGACTTCCTGGATCGACGCTGGACCCTCCTCCTCCTCCTCCTCCTCCCCCTCCCCCCTCCTCCTCCTCCTCCCTCCTCCTCCCCTCCCCTCCTCCTCCTCCTCTCCTCCTCCTCCTCCTCCTCCTCCCCTCCTCCTCCTCCTCCTCCTCCTCCCCCTCCTCCCCCCCT